CCCGGCTTAAGTGGTTACAAGGAATTTCTCATGGGCTGCAGCAATAATTTTGCCAATGCCTCGTTTACCGCAAGTGCTTCGCTATACGTGCTAGCTCCCGCGTCTGGGCCAGCGAAAAAAATACAGCGGAAGGCGGGCGAGCGATTGTCGCTCCCGTGCCAGCTTTCAAAAGCGCCTCTGGTACAACAATTACGATGAGCGGGAGAACATTTTGGAAAGCTACGAGAAAAAATCGCTCCGTGCCGCCGGCGGAGCGTTACGAGCTCCGTTCTCAACGTAGACACTAGGCTATTCCAAATCAACATTAGAGCTGCTCCATAAACTCCCTCGAACGCAGTGATTCGCCACACGAACAAAAGACTCCGAGACAGTCTATAGAACATCAATGTGTCTTTATAACCGCGTAACAATAAGCTTTCATATATCGCAGGGGTTCATTGTGGGCAATGTATAGGCACGCAGTGACGAGCCTGACACAGCACGAATCAAATCTGTGTTTCTGAATTCCGTCAGCGTCAGAAAGTGGATGTTTTTTACTTCAGGTAGATATTAGCAAGAAATGTAATTTTTCTTGTAGCGTTTGTATACTTAAAGAATTCTAGCACTGTGTAGACTTTGGCATGATTGCGGCAGCGATTGATAGATCTATTGCATGGGGTACCGTGACTGGGGAAGAAAAAAGCGAAGTTAACACTGCTTAGCCGCAGAAGCGTCTCCCCTGACATTCTAGAGATTGAACTTATTTGACAACTCTAATTAAATTACATCATAGAGTTAATGAAGACACTGATTTGTCTTCATTAACCCTTTGTTACGCGTTATGGCCTGTCTTTACATTCTATATGGTTATCTTTAATATAACTATTTTGGTTACTCAACTGCTAGTAAATAAGGTCTGACACCAAATTTTTGTGCCAGGCTCCACACACTTTTCTTGAAGTTTGGTGGTCCTGCTGTCCACTAGATTTTTAGCTTGAGAATTAGAAGCCTCGGTGCGGAGCGCGACAAACGCGCTTGCCACGAGGTGGCCGCGGGCAACCAAAATTCGCGCCCGCGACAGGTGCTTGAAATTGCACTTCCTGTTTCGGGCAAGCAAGTTTTTTTATTGAATGGCCTAGACATAGACCGAGATCTTGAATTGAAAAAACAGAATGCGATGAGACAATGCGTGTATCTGCGTGTACGTGCGTGTACCCGCGTGTACCCGCGTGCACGTGCGTGTACCCGCGTGCACGTGCGTGTACCCGCGTGCACCCGCGTGTACCCGCGTGTACGTGCGTGTACGTGCGTGTATCTGCATGTACGTGCGTGTACCTGCGTGTACGTGCGTGTACCCGCGTGTATGTGCGTGTATCTCCGTGTACCCGCGTGTACGTGCGTGTACGTGCGTGTATCTGCGTGTATGTGCGTGTACCTGCGTGTACGTGCGTGTACCTGCGTGTATGTGCGTGTATCTCCGTGTACCCGCGTGTACGTGCGTGTACCCCCTCTGTGCGCGCCTGCCTGAGCAGCAATTGTTTACACAATTGCCTAGCTTAGCCTCGTTTTCGTGCGATAACCCCAGGTCATAAATAATAATTAAGACTGGTCTATAGCAAGGAGCTAAATATAACAAGGAGAGGAAGCGCCGCCATATCTGGCCCAAATGTTTGCCATATTTGGTCATATTGGTCCAGAACAGATTAGTGTTCTATTGTCTCTGGGGGACAGATCTGCACAGCCGTTTCAGCTGATTATAGTCCATAGATGGCGTCCTTGAGGCGAAAAGCACACAGCCAATCCGCTTCCTCTCCTTGGTCTATAGGAGATGGGTAGCTATTAGGAGACGGGGGCTAGTTCATAAATGCTTGCTTTACGATACCTTGCGCGAACCCACGAACTGCAGCAGAGCAACGATATAATAAAGTTCATACTTGGACTAGGTGTGTTGTTGTACGTGCTGCTTTGGCATTTTGAAAAGCCAACATTGATTACCAATCCGATATTTAGATGTCATTCATCTTAATGCCAACATTCTGCCTGATGTGCTAGATGGTGTACAGAATATTGGGAGAAAGGAAGCTATGCCAATGATAAAGCACATCACGGAGAGGTGTTTTACGTAAACCACGTTTGGTCATAACGTAAGGAAGCTTTTATTTAGCTCCACCCTGTATAAAATCTAAATAGATTTTCCATAATACGACGTGCTTTGCAGCTACAGTGCTACCAGTGATAAAGTACTTTATTGTTTACATCCAAACGTATAATGCGCGGGGGGGGGGGATGTGCGAATTACTACACAACCTAGCGCACGTAAATAAACCCTGGCCAACACAATGGAAGGTTCACTGCCACTGGCCAAAAGTAAGCTCCACCTGCTTCTTATCGATATTTGGTATGCCAACGCGGTAGTCTGGATTCAGGACCCTGTGCTAACTTGTGCGTCCGAACATCCCACGCACGTTTCTCGAATTCCAACTAAAGTTGTGCGTGAGGTGTTCTAAATTGTGTGTACGCATTTCTTCTTGAATCCGGCGCTGAGATCACTAGTGCATGCTGCTAGTTGCATGCTGGGGTGGATTTTCTACGGGCCCGTCGGGACTGCTAGGATTAGGAATGCAGGCACGAGCCTTAAAATACGGGCCTCGGGCCCGCGGGCCCGTTAGGATTTCGAACCCTGTTAAGGGTTAGAGCTTCTGTTATGCTGCAATTAAGGTTACAATTAGGTTTTGCTTAGTGTTAACTTAAAGTTAGGGTAAGGGTTAGAGCTTTGATTTGGTAAGGATTAAGGTTAGGGTCATGGTTATTGTGCTAGGTTCTAAACGAATCACAGTTGCGAATTAGGGTAAGGGATAGAGCCTCTGTCATGCTGTGATTAGGGTTATGATTTGGTTTGGGTTAATGTTAGAGTTAGGTTAAGGGTTGTCACTTCTGTCATGCTGTGATTAGGGTTAAAATTCGGTTTGGGTTAATGTTAGAGTTAGGTTAAAGGGACAGTAGCCTCTAGGATTTTACTGCATACAACTGTACTTACTGTATAACAAATCGTCTATACCCACACGTATTTGTTACCAGATACCTAATTTAATTGTTATAATTATTTACACATCAACGCTACGAAATTTGAACGGCGCCATGACACCCGCGACCGTGCTGCCACCCTGAAAAAGTTGCGTAGTTGCATTTTTATTTTGCAGGTAAATGACCGAGGGCTAATCACAAAAGTGCAATTATATTTATACCTAAATGCTATTTAACCGAACGATATTCATTTTAGGGCAAATTTATCCATATTATAACTGAAACTATATGTCGTTTATAAGATATTACAATCCTTTTGCTTTTAAATGAATAAATAAGAAATACCCTCGGTCTGTAGCCCTTGGCTAGAAAGTGGTTTTGCGCAACTTCTCAGATCAGCGCTTTGAGTGGCGCCACCGTCGTTGTAATCAAACTGTAGTCGTTAGTTTTAAAACATTTTTAGAACCTAGAGGCTACTGTTCCTTTAAGGGTTAGAGCTTCTTTTATGCTGTGATTAGGGTTACAATTCGGTTGGGGTTAGTGTTAGAGTTAGGATAAGGGATAGAGCTTTGAGTTGGTAAGGATTCAGGTTAGGGTTAGGGTTACTCTGTTAGGGTTAGAGCTGCAATTCAGTTAGTGGATTTCATACTGCCGGTTATTTTAATGTGTGGGAGACCTCAAGAAAGGGAGACTTTAAAACAGGAAGGCTCCTTTATCTGTACTGACTCCCCATAGTAGGGCTCCCTCTGCGTGTTTTAAAGTTTGAGCTTGAGCTACCAAATTTATTTTTTGCCACCAATAAACAACTAAAGCCACTGGACACTTTATTGTATGCGTGAACAGGTGATGGGTATCAGAAAAGAGGTGTACGAAAACATTTTATGACATGTCACTGCAAGTTGGCATTAGGCTATTTTCTGAGCAGTCAAATTATTCGCCATAATATTCGCCGCTTGGTGTAGTAAAATCACCGCTGTTATTTATTTATTGCATTTTGCGAAGGTGGCAAACGCCAGCGGTAGCCCTGCCATAGTTCGATTAGAATTTTTCTCTGTGAGATGCAAAGCTTTTATTCCACTCTTCCACAGTCCATACATCATACATGCATATCCCTAAATTTGGCGAGGCCACCACTGGTGCGTGTGTAGCCGTGGCCCTATCTTTGTAGCATACCTTGTTACGTGCGGGGCAGTGACATGCAGTGTTGCAGTGCGTCAATGATGATATTTATTTTGACATTTTTTTCCCAGCAGGAGAGCGTAAGCCAGAGGCTCGAAATCCCACAAATCTGATCGATCTCCCTGATGGAGCCTTCTCCTTCAGATATGCCACGCCCTGGAGGAGAGAAGTCCTACATATGTGATGTGTGCGGATACGCCAGCTCCAGGCTATATAATCTTAAGACACACATGCACACTCACACGGGAGAGAAGCCATTTGCGTGCGACACGTGTGAATACATGTGTGTGACGTCTGCTAAACTCAAGATACACGCACGCACTCACACAGGAGAGAAGCCCTATGCGTGCGACAAATGTGAATACAAGTGTACATCTTTCGCTTATCTCAAGGTGCACATGCGCACTCACATGGGAGACAAGCCGTACGTGTGCGATATATGTGAACACAGATATACGAGCCTCGAGAATCTAAAGGTACACATGTTCACTCACACGGGAGAGAAACCGTTTGCGTGTGAGAGATGTGATTATAAGTGTTCTAGGTCCGGTAGGCTTAAGTCACACATGCGCACTCACACGGGAGAGAAACCATTTGCGTGCGATATATGTGAACACAGATATCGGATCCTCTATAATCTCAAGATACACATGCGCACTCACACGGGAGAGAAGCCGTTTACGTGCGATAGTTGTGAATACAGGTGTAGGACCTCCAGTCGTCTCAAGAGTCACATGCGCACTCACACTTTAGAGAAACCGTTTACATGCGATAGTTGTGAATACAGGTGTAGGACCTCCAGTGATCTAAAGACACACATGCACACTCACACGGGAGAGAAGCCGTTTGCATGTGAGAGATGTGAATATAAGTGTTCTACGTCCGGTAAGCTCAAGTCACACATGCGCACTCACACAGGAGAAAAGCCGTACGTGTGCGATATATGCTGTTACACCTGCACCAACTCCAGCAACCTCAAGAAGCACTTTCTCACGCACACGGGCGAGAAACCGTATGCGTGCTATATATGTGAGTACAGGAGTTCTCAGCTGGCGAATCTCCAGATCCACACGCGCACTCACACGGGAGAGAAACCCTTTGCGTGCGACACATGTGAATACAGGTGTGCTAGTTCTGGCAATCTTAAGTTGCACATGCGTACTCACACGGGAGAGACACCGTACGTGTGTGATATATGTGAACACAGATATACTACCCTCAGTTATCTCAAGGTACACATGCGCACTCACACAGGAGAGAAGCCATTTGCGTGTGACAAGTGTGGATGCAAGTTTATTGCCAGCAGTTCACTGAGTAGCCACCGGCGCACTCACTCAAAACCGAGCGCGTGATACACGCATCTATGCAGGGCGAATACGGAAACCAGGACTCCCATCAAATCGTATAGCATGACATTGACAGTATTACATCGTCCTAACAAAATCTAGTAACACCTAATAACAATCTTACTGTGTGCCGCGATATCGCGCTGCCGTCCTTCGTAGCTCATACTAGAGTATTGTGAAGTATATAAATGACATTACTGATCTCTGCATACTATCTGGATAGCGGCTAGCCAATCCTCTGTCAGCGACAAAACTACGCCGCCGTGTCGTGACTGGCCGCCATCTTGCGACCACTCCAAACACTCCGTTCCGGTATACGCCCCGTAACATTTAGAATGTAGAATTAGAAAATACAGCTTACTTTCTTATTCAAATTTACATAATAGAAACAACAAACTTTGATAAATACACAACAGGATTATATATATATACAATGGATACAATACGGATGCATACAATGAGAGAGACGCACAAACAGCTATGATAGTCTATAGTCTATACGTAGAGGTTTGTAACATGACGTCACTGTAATATCAGTCACTGAAGATGCCATGTTCTGTTAACAAGCCCTGTTCTATTGTTTATTGTCGCTTAGCTCTCGTACAATTCTATTCATTTATATGGATGGTCGCTTATGTTATGGATAATGCAATTCAATTATATTACATCTCCTCTTCTTACTTTTGATACTAAGTTACTTAAGATTTCTTGCTCATCTCAAATCTAGGATATGTGACTCTATACTGAACTGGAACAATTAACAAATCTACTTGCATTCTACAATATGTAACAACAACACAGATTGCATTCTACAATATGTAACATCAACACATTATTATAGGTCCAGTCTTCTGGGCGGCTTTACAGTCCTGCCAGACTTTGTTGTGTATCTAGGAGACGTGCAGGGTCTTCTCGGAGGGTGTCATTGTGTCCGTCACCCGTCCGTGCTGCCCCGTCTCTCGCCTCTGGTGCAGTGTCTGGTTCTCTTCGGCTCTCATGTTGTTTGTCACTGACGCCCAGCTGCCCGTCGTCCATTGTAGTGGTGTTCTGTTGGTTTGCTGCTTCTGACGACTCGCGGAGGTGTCTGCGATTGCGGCGATACAGCCGACCTCTGCTGCAGATGACGTAGGATCTGGGTCTCCAGTAGTGCTTTACCACCGTTCCCGATTTCCAAGACTTGGAGCCTGGAAGAGGGTTCATGTGTATGCTGTCACCTTGTTCTAGTGGTTTTAGCTCCTTCACACCTCTCCTAGGGTCATAATAGACCTTTTGTTTTGCCTTCTCTTTATTGAAGTGTTCTTTCACTACTGTAGCGTTGTCTATTCTGGGTTTTAGGATTTCCGTCGAGGCAGGCAAAGTATTCCTGGAGCGCCTGCCCATCAGAAGTTGAGCTGGGGATAATTTAATTCCCTCCAACGGTGTAGTTCGGTAGTCTAGTAGAGTTAAGTATTTGTCCTCTGCCTTGCTCCATAGGCGTGTCACTGTTTGTATCGCTCGCTCTGCTTCTCCATTGGAGCTTTGGAAGTGCGGGCTAGAAGTCTGATGTTCGATTCCGTATACCTAGCAGAATTTATTGAATTCAGTCGAGCTGAATTGTGGCCCGTTGTCTGATCGAATTCTCAGCGGGATGCCATGGCAAGCGAATATTTGCTTCATGGCGTTAGTTATCGATGAGGTTGTAGTTGAGCTCAGTTTGACGACGTCGATATATTTCGAGTAATAGTCCAATAGCAGTACCAGTACTGTTACCAGTACCTGTACCCAGTACAGTCTCACCTCAGCTGGAGCTTCACTTCTGTTGTCTGGCCACCCATTGCTTATCACCTGATATAGTGGTTGGAGTTCAGACTTTGTCTTCTCCTTGATTTCTACGTATCTGGATTTGCTGACTGATATCATGCTGATGACGTCGCTTTCAAGATCATCTGCTTCGACTTGTTTTCCGGGTAGATATGCTCGGGAGAGTGCATCCGACACAAACATCTCTTTCGCCTTTCGGTATCTAACCTCGATGTCGTACCACTGTAATTTCAGCATCATTCTCTGAATTCTCATCGGAGCTGACAGTAGTGGTTTTGCGAATATCTGTTCTAGCGGCTTGTTATCATTGTGGACTGTGGTCTTCTTACCGAACACATAGCAGTGAAACTTGGCCGTGCTGTACACTATCGACAACATTTTCTTTTTGATTTGTGCTTATCGTTGTTCAGTTTCAGTCATTGCACGGGACGCATACGCAATAACACGACCTTCCTGCATGAGTAGAGCACCTAACCCGTCTTTGCTTGCATCGCACTCTATGTGCACAGGTTTGTTTATGTCGTAGAATGCTAGTACTGGAGATGTACTGCATTTCTGTTTCAGCTCTTTGAAGCTGTCTTCATGTTCGTGCTCCCATGCGAATGTCACGTCTGACTTCAGGAGGCTCCGCCGTGGTGCGTCTACTTGGCTTAGATTGGGAATAAATTTTGCTAGGTACTGTGCCAGACCAAGCAATCTGTGGACTCCCTCCTTGTCACGTGGTGCTGGCATCTCGACAATGGCTTTGACCTTTTCTGGGTCTGGCTGTAGACCTGCCGTGATCGCGTGCCCCATGTAGGGTACACTGGGTTGTCGTATGCTGCACCTGTCGTAGTTTAGCTTCAGATTGTACTGATTTGCTCGTTCAACTACTTGCCTGAATATTTCGTCATGATGTGCCTGGTTTCGACCTGCGATGTGGATGTCATCCACGATGGCGAATGCTCCATCAATTCGTTCTATCATCTGGTCCATGATCCGCTGATATATTTCAGGTGCGGACTTTATTCCGAAAGGTAGTCTGAGCCACCTATATCTTCCTATAGGGCTGTTGAACGTGGTCAGATATGACGACTTCAGATCCAATTCTATCTGTAGAAATCCTGACTTTGCGTCGAGTACTGAGAACAGTGTTGCATCTGGTATGCATGCTATTACATCGTCTATTGTTTTCATGGGGTGATGTTTCCTTTTTATGACTTTGTTTAGATCTTTTGGATCTATGCAGATCCTGACCTTGTCTTTTCTGAGTGACACTACCATGGAGCTGACCCATTCTGTTGGTTCACTCACTGGCGCGATGTATCCGTTCCTTTCCATTTCTCTGAGTTTTTCGATGGCATGCGGTTTTATTGACGCTGCCAGTCGGCGAGATGGATGGATCACACCTTTTGTGCTTTCTTCGATCTTTATAGTGTATTCTCCTGGCAGAGTACCTGTGGTTTCCACTAATGCAGGATAATCATGTGCTATTTCTTTACGTGCGGAGAGTTCTCTGACAGCATCTACTTGCTGTATCAGACCCAGGCTCTCTGCAACATCACCGCTGATAATGTTTTCCTGATTCAGGTCGACGATCTCAAACTGTGCGCATGCTTGATTCTCTTTGTACTTCACTGGTAGGTTATCCGTTCCTACTGGGTTGACCTTGTGAGTTGTATAAGACTTGAGGGTTCTCTGAGCGACTGACATCTTGATGCGTTCGCCGAGAGATTCTAGTCTTTCTAGCTGTGGTTTCACTATAATGCAGCATTTCGACCCTGTGTCTATTCTGAACGGCACGTCGTGGTTGTATACCTTTAAGTGCACTAGCCATTTGTCACTAGAGAGAGTGTTCACTGGTCCCTGCGCATCGTGTGTCGCGTGGATGTGTAGTAAGCCGTCGCTGTCATTTGAGTCTGCACTCTCTTGCGCAGAGTCACTCCGTATACCGCTGACTTGGCGGAGTCTTTTTCTATACATCTTTAGCCAGTGATTCGCTTTCTTGCAATACTTGCAGATTGTTCCTTTAGCCGGGCATTTTCCTTCATCGTGAACTCTGCCGCAGCTGGAGCAGTTGTTAGCATGACTGTGGCTATACCTCGTTTCTTGTGCGGAATCTCGTTCCTTGCTCCAAAACTGCTTCTGCTGTACGGGTTGTCTCTTCCTGTAGCTGTTACTGACGTGTCGCCTTGTTTTGACTGCGAGAACTTCTTCTCCATGCATCGTTTTTATTTGGCTCTGTGATAACTCAAATCACTGCCCTATCTCAATAACCTTCACTATAGTGAGCTCTTGTCTCGGATCTAGAAAACGTTCTTGTACCTTACGGTGTCGTAAGCCATTGATGATTAAGTCAATCATAATGTCATCTGGGTCTGTGTATTCACAGTCCATCAATAGAATCTTCAGATCTTTGACGAAATTATCAAACGTTTCACCTTCTGACTGAGATCGTTCTTGAGCCTTGAATCTCGCTACTCGCTTGTTTTTCCTAGGTCGGACATATTCTTCAATTTTCTCGAGAATTTCTTTGGGGTCGTCTTCTTGGCCCTGAGCCTATATGAACGGTTTGTAGACTTCCCTACCTTGCTGTCCTATCCACATGCCTAGCCATCCTGCGCGATGTTTGTCATCTGTACTGGCAAGCGGTCCCTTAAATGTAAATTCTACATGCTGTTTAAAATCGCTGGCTCCCCAGTTAAACATCAGATGTTCGAATTGCATTGCCTCGCCGGTTTAAGCAAATTGCCCGATAAAAACTGTTAATGTTTAACTGATGTTAACACAAGCATAAGACAGACAACTGCTGAAAAGGGGGGGGGTACTTCTAGGGGGTTCTGGGGCCAGGCCCCCCCCCCCAGAAAATTTTTGAAAATTATAAGCTCTGAGATGCAATATAGAGCCATTTCAGGGTACTACAATAGCTCACAACTAGCAACACTTTTTGGTGGAAAAGGAAGAAAATTATCCATATAACATGGTCACTTACTGTAAAATTTTGATGGGCACTGGGGAATTCCGTCTGTGTTGCGTGTGTCCAAAGTAAATGTATTTTGTAGACATACAAGCTCTTACGTAGGGAAGCTTTTATTTAGCTACACCCTGTATAAAATGTATATAGTTTTTCCAAACGTTGAAAACAATATGACACGGTACTGTTGTACTGTTTGCATGACGAGTAAGTAATATGCAGGGGCGTGTACAGGATTTGTAGCAGGGGGTCTAACTGTAACCCAAACTGCGAGCACGCGAAGGTGGGGTCTGGGGGGCCCTGCCCCAGATTTTTTTTTAAATTAGACCCCCTCAGATGCGTTTTCTGCGCAAGCAGGGGGGGGTCCGGACTCCCTAACCCCCCCCCCCCTGTACACGCCCCTGATATGACGTGATTTGCAGTTACAGTGACTTATGTGTGTTAAAACTTGAGACAATTATTATTATTATTTACTGTATAATTCAACATGCTATATTACATATATCTTCTTAATATTATTTTAAAACAGTACATAGTGATCGTTTGTTAACTACCAGTGATACTTTATTGTTTACATCCAAACGTGAAATGCGCGGGGATGTGCGAATTACTCCACAACCTAGCGCACGTGAACAGTGAGCGTGCCACACGGCCCGTGCACGTAAATAAATCCTGGCCAACACAATGTAAGGTTGGACCATGTCAAATCAATGTCAATGGTCTTTTTTGTTTCAGCACTATCCTACCGTTTTTATCACTTTATTGAAAGGACCATGAAATCTACTTTCCGCTGACGTGCGATGAGT